GAGGGGCCCCCTCCCCACAGCAGCAGGATGGGGTGCAGGAAAGCACGCCCACACACACCAACCAAGAGCCTCCTGGCGCTTCCTTAATTAATTGCAAGGAGGGTGCCAGCCAGAAACCAATTACAAAGTCCCTCCAGCGGCCTCTTCTGGGCTTAAGATGGGAGGGGAGGGGACCCCACTCCCTCCCCTCCTGAGCAGCTGGTCCCACACTCCAAGCTCACAAAAGACAGGCTCCTTCTGAACAACTTCTTTTCATGTGGAAGCCACTGGATTTGCAGCTGTCCCTCCCTGGCAGGCCTGCCCCATGCCAGCTGCTAGGGCAAGGAAGAGGAATTCTAGGGAGCTAATGGAGAAGACAGAGGGAGCCAGGCCAGGCACGCAGGGAACAGGCACATTCTCTCATCTCCTGTATGCCAGACAGGACCCATGGCTAGCCACGGCCAGATCAGACTCTGGGCTGCCCGGTGCCAGGAGCCCAGGCTCCTCCACCCACGCTGGCCGGCAGAGAAGTGGAAAAACTCACTCCATTGTGGCGGTGCTGCCAGGCCCAGTACTGCCAGGCTGAGGATATGCCTGTATCCAGCTCCCGCCCAGCCAAGCCCTGTCTACACCAACTCCCATCCTTCCCAGATGCCTCTGAGAAGGATGCCAAGGTGGCTGTGGCCCAGGGCAGGGGAACACAGGGCCTCTGGGCATTGTCAGGGACATAGCGGCGGACTGCTTTTCTGGAGACAGTTTCCCTGCCTAGCAGGAGTCAGAGAGAGGAAAGAAAGGGCCTGCAATGGTTGAGTGCTTACAGCATGCGGGTGAGACAGCCACTCCCACCTGGCACCCACGGGACCTTGAGCCTCCAAACTCAGGGCCTGGGCACAGCTGTCTATATCTGTCTCCTCCTCCTAGGTGTGGCCCCAGTTTACGTGTCCTGTGTCCCTACAGCCTAAGCACATAGTTCTCCAGGTGCCAGGGGAATGAATGGTGGCCACACAGCTTCAGCGGCAGGATTCAACACGGGGAGGCCGCCCTGTCCCAGGGGCTTCAGCTGGGTCTGTGCTGGGACCTTTGGCACCTTTGACTGAGGCTTAGTAACACACTGTCACCAACTCTTCGAGACAGGGAGTACAGGGCCTGGGGGTCAGGTACCCCTTGGGTGACAGATGGACTGTGGGTCAGGATGTGGAGGCCTGTAAGGCTCCTCAGCATCAAGGCTCCGGTGTAGCTCCTCTCTACAAGGCTAGGGCTCCTCTCTCACCTGGAGCACCTCGAGCTATTCCTCCAAGGGAAGAGGCCACCAACAGAGGGGAATTGGGCTTTCAGCAGGAAGCAAGGGTGCTGCTAAGGGGAACCTGCAGGTGTTGAAACTGCCTCACAGGTGGGAGGAGCATGCACTAGGAGTGCACAGGACCCAGGTGCCAACCTTGCTGGATGACTGCAGGAAGGGACAACCTCTGACCTGGACCTCAGTTCCCCCGCTTTGCCCTGTGACTTCTCCAATATTCTGTACCTCTGCCAGTCCACAGGTGCCTGAGACACCTGGACTCTGTCAGGCAGCTGCTTCAACCTGGGTGGGGCCAGGCCATCCTTGGTTCTATGTCTTCAGCAGCAGCCAGGGGCATGAGAGAGGGGCCAGGGTCAGTGAGTAGATTCGCTGCTTCTGGAGGAAGAAGGGGTGCAGGGGGTACAGGAGGAGGAGGATGCTGACAGCCAGGGTCCTCTGCCCACTCCCCTTCTCCCAAGTTCTGCCTCTCTAGAGACTCTGCCCTGGGTAACGACCCACCAGCTAGTACGGGAACTGAACCAGCAAAGCACTCAGTCATGTGTGTCTAACTTGGTAAGTACAGTGCCCCGGCAACACGAGGGCCCTGGGTCACTGTGAGCCACTTCCTTTCTACCCTGGAGTCCCCACCTGCAGCCACATCACAGTCACTAAGCCAGAATTCAATGCAAAAGAGCCTGAGCCGCAGACAGGGGCCACGAAGCAAAGGTCCACGGCACCACTCGTGGGCTCTAACCCTGATGCATGTCCTTCTCCGCTCTTCCAGTTCAAAGCTTTTTAGAAACATTTAAAAGCAGGGGCTAGTGAGCAGTGGCACAGGCCTGTAATCTTAACACTCAGGAGGCTGAGGCAGAAAGATCAGTGTTTGTTCCTGCCTTAGGGTAGAAGCAAGGTGGACAGACTCTGAGTGGAGGAGGGCCCTGCCCCCCCCCCCCCCCTCCGTAGACCCTCCCCCCGCTGTGTCTCCCCCCCCCCGAGGCAGTGTCTGGTTCTCCCTCTGGACACACTTCTTTTTTTGCATCATTCTAGTTGCATGAAGGGATTAAGGCAGCTGAGTAAGATGCATACAAGAACACAAAATTTAAAACATCATAACCAGGATACACACTGCCAGGCGAGAAGGTCACCCATACACCTGTGGTCCCAGTGCTAGCTCAGGCCCTTTGAAAGAAGAGTGTTAGATGGGAAACTGAGACTCACGTCCTCTCCGAAAGCACTCTCAGGGCCCAGCAACTTGCTGCCCGCTTCCTTTTCTCCCTTTCCTGGGTCTCTGGAGTTCTTGAGTCCTGCCACCCGCCAAGTCCCTTGCTCTTGTGTTTTTAGACGGGCCTCATTGTGTATTTCAGGCTGGCCTCAAACTCATGACACTCCTCCTGCCTCAGCCTCCACACTGCTGGGGATACAGACATGCACCACCATGCCCAAGCCTCTTTTTCTTTCATGTTATAATAAGAGATGTTTTTAAAGCAAGTTTGGTTCCCCATCAGCATTAACTATGGTATGCATTTAATATGCAGACCAAGCAACTCCCATCATTCAGTGCAGCTCAGGCGAGCCACAAGGTTGGATAGAGCCTGCCTCTGGCCTCCTTGTGCTGCCCCCCATTAGTGATGGTGACCCCACCTCCACACTCCCTCCAGGCTTCTGCCCTAAGCTGGCTCCCCCTACACTTTACAGATGGAAAAGCAGAGGCCCAGGAATGGCAGTGACTTCTCCAAGGTCCGGGGCCTGAAAGTGGCAGAGTGGGGATGAGACACTGAGCTGTCCAATGTTCAGGGCCCACGAGGCGGGGCCTACAGGAACAGAAGGCTTCCCAAGCCCTCACTGTGTCCTTCCTGCCCCTGCTGTCCCCAGTGGGCCCCACGAGAACCTCACTGGCCAGGAAAGGGCCAGCATGGGAGCGAAGAGAGGGTTAAAGTGCGGATTTTACTTAATCCTCTGATCTGGCCTAAGCCGAGGCCATACTGGTTAAGCAGCACAGAGGGGCCCACTAGGGGCTGGCTGTGGGCCGGGCCGGGGGAACTTAGTAGACACCAAGACACTAGTGTAGTAGTTCTGCCAGGTGATCCACCAAGTGCCCACTCTCATGCTGTGTCCCATCCCTGCTAGAGGCGGAGCCTCCAAGCAGTGCCCCTCCACCATGGAAGGCGCCAGGTCCAGCAGCCAGCAAGAGAAAGATCAGTGGCCATAAATGAGGCAGCCCTGAGGGTAAACCCAAGTCCTGCCACCTCCTTGCTGTGTGACCTTTGGCAAGTCGCTTCCCCTCTCTGAGCCTCTGTTTCTTCCTCCACTGAAGGGACCTACACACCTTCCTGCAGGCCTCCCACAAGAAAGGCTGCAAATACACAAAGAGCATGTGGTTACCAATCTCGCATCCTTCACCTCCCCATCCTGGCCCAGCTTGTGCTCTTCTGTGCTGCCTGCCTCCATCCGGGCATTAATAACCTCAACAATGATAAGCCCTCCCAGCGAATGGCACTTGTGTTACTTCAAAACACGAAGCATCCCTACCCCTCTGGGAGAAAGCAGTCAGGCCAGAAGCAGCCTCTCACCCTCAAGTTCCTTTTCCCACCATGCACTGGGGACCACTGGCAAAGTGTAGAGTTGAGCCAGAGGACCTGAAGAAGCCTGGAGCCTGTGACATCTCATGAAGTCATGGGCAGCCCCTGGCTTACAGGAGCCCAAAGCCCCCAGGCCCCTGCAACACCTGCAGCCCCATTCTCCATCTGTCCCCCCACCCTGACCCTGCAGGCCGCTCTGGCCTCGGCTCCCAGCCCAAGAGCCAGCTGGACAGCTGGGAAAGCTGCAGCCTGGCTGGGCGCACAAGCTGCCCAGCCCCAGGCCAAGCGGCCAGGCCAGGCTAGGCTCTGAGTGAGCCTGGCCTTCACAGCGCCTCTGAACAGGGTAGGGTCACACTAGGAATCTCATTGGTCCTTCCACGGCCTGCCACCGCCCCCAAGACTCATGGTGTCATTTTCACTTGCACAAGAGGAAACTGAGGCCCAAAGTAGAAGCCCCACTGCCACCAAGGTTACCCAAGAGATTTGGGGTAGACCTGAGCCTCCGGACTCCTGTATGCTTCCCACTGCCCCATCCACACCTCTCCCCTTAACTCTGTCCTCTCTGCAACACGGGAACCCCCAAAGTTCTCTAGCAAACCCTGGGCCCTGTGGCAAGTCTTAAGAGCCCCTCTAACACGGAGCAGGCAAGACGTCTACTAACCCCTTCTCTGGTGCAAACACCCCCTCCTCCGTGTCTCTGAGCTGGCCAGTGGGACCCTCGCCACCCACGGATGGGGGCCAGTGCCTTCTTCTCCACCTGACTGGAGGCCTGGCCAGCAGGTGGGGTGGGGCTCCCCCTTGTAAGAGGGCCTGCTCCATGCCCACCATCAAGGTGAACCCCAGCTCTGCTGTGATGCTTCCCGCTGTCTGTGCGCGCCACGCACGGCCCCACGGAGCGTGCACCCGACACAGCTAGGCGCGCGCAAAGGGGGTGAGGTGGGGGGGGATGGATATGCAGCATCTCACGCAGGGGTTAAAAATGCAGCCTGGGCTGGCCAAGGATGGTGTCCAAGCCGCAGGGCTGCCGAGCCAGAGCCGCATCCCGCCCCGCCTCGAGGGCGAGCGGCCCGGGCGCTGAGGGAGCAAGCGCGGCGTCCGCCACCCCTTCCTGGCCCGCGCCCAGAGCCCCGCGCCCCCGCCGCCCCGGGTCCGGTCCCGACGCCTACCTTGGTGACCGTCATGCAGGAAGCCGGCGGGGCTGGCACGCGTGCGGGGCAGCAGCCGGGGTCCCGCACTCGGGCTGGGCCGCTAGGGGCCGGCGGGCTGCGCGCGGGGACTGCTCGCTCGTGGGCGCCCGCCGCGCTGGCGCTGATGTCAGCCGCGGCCGCGCATTTATAATGGATGAGGCTCCGCGCCGCAGGAAGGCGAGGCAGGAAGAAAGGAGCGGGGAGCGGGCCGCTGGGGGCGGGGAGGAAGAGGGGCCGGGAACTCGCTACAAAGGCGGAGGCGGGAGGCGGAGGGGACGCGGCCGCCCGCTCGTGGCCGGCGCTGCGATGCCCGGGCCGGCGCCCAGGCCACACCTTAACCCCCGCGGGCCCGGACGCGCGCGGCTTCGAGGCCGCCCTGGCACCTGCCAGCTCCGGTCCGGCTCCGGCTGGCAGGGGCGGGGACCCCGTGAAGTCACCCGCGGGACGGAGGGGAGCGCAGCGGCCTCGCCTCCTGCAGATGGCGTGGTGGGGGCACGCGTGGCCACAGGGCCTGTGTGGGCGCCCCTTTGGCTCTACGCAGAGGGAAAAGAGGCCAGGTTGGACAGTGACGTGGACAGGGGCACCGACATAGTCTCTGGCCACTCCGTCGCTGGCTCCCAGAGGAACCCTTGCTGTAAAGGCTGGAAGGGCCCCGTCTGTGGTACATCCACACACTCTCTGAGTGTGCGCTGCGTGGGGGACACAGGTAGGTGCGCCGCGGGGGTGAGGGAATCCTGACCCAGGTCACACAAGGCGGCGATTCTGAAGTCGCTGTAAGGATTTGAGGTACCACCTGAAGGTCCTAAGACCCGGTGAGCAGGCGTTGCTCAGGTGACTTCCTGCTCCCAGGAAGGCACTGTTTACTTTGCTGCCCACTAGACAGATTCAGAGAGGGGTGGGGCGGAAGGTGACAGAAGCCAGGATCTGAACCAAGTCTCTGTGCCAAGCTCCAGGGACGCTCACACCTGCTGCCTTTTTTGTGTCTCCCCAGCAGGAGGCCTGTTCATTCTCAGAAGTGGTTCTGCAACTTCTAGACCTCTGCAGTGGCTGGTTCTGCCCAGGCCCCAGGTAGCTGCTCTGCCAGGCCATTCCTAGTCCAATGTCCATGGCTGGCCACCACATCACCCCCCTGGCCTGCTCCCCATTTTGTGTCACCCCAGACACACCCCTCTTCTGGGGACCCCTGCACCCCACCTGCCACCCCAGCTCACAGTTCTGCCCCGTGAGCCGTCGTTCAAGGGTCTACTATTAGGTTCAGGCACTTCCTGTGAGCGCAGACAGTGGCCACCTCCCCTTTGGGTGCAAACTCATGCCTTCTCCCTGCACACCCCTGGACATACAGAGGGCACTGAGCAAATGTTTCAGACGAGATCAGGTGCATTCAGGGTGGTATGACAGTTTAAAGAATACTGGTTGGAAAAAAAAATACTGGTTGACAGTATTCTTTGTGTGTGTGTGTGTGTGTGTGTGTGTGTGTGTGTGTTATGGGGGATCAAACTTAGGACCTCATACTTGCCAGACAGGCGCTTCTGCCGCTGAGCTATCTCCCTGGCAAGCAGCTGTGTCATACCAGAAATAAATCGGGTGAAGCAAACCTTCAGCCAGTAGAAGAAACCTACACCAGGCCTTCAGAAGTACTTCTTTTCCTTTCTTTCTTTTTTCATGTCTTTACTACAGGGTCTACAGGGTCTCACTACACAGATCTGTCTTGTAGTGATCCTCCTGTTTTCAGTGTTCCAAGTGCTAGGATTACAGGTGCGCCACTATGCCCAGTCTCAGTTGCCCTCTCAGCACACCCAGGGGCAGGGCTAGTACAGCACCCCAGGGACTGAACCCCAGTTCCTGAACCTGACTAAGCAGGCACTTTAGTCCGCTAAGCTATCTGGCTGGCCCTAGAAGCGCTTCTTGTCACACCGTGGTCGGGCATCAGAAGAGGTCAGGTTCTGGGTCTGGATTGGGATTATCTTGGGTCGCTCAGCCCCAAGACGCGACCTCAGGCCTAGGGACCCATTGGAAGCCATTGAAGGGCAACCCAAGAATGCCAGTCGCCCGCTCTCACAGCTGCGCTCTGTCCACACATGTCTCCCAGATTGTCATTCTCGGCTACCCAGCATGCCTCCTGGCACCTTCCCCTCCCTCCTCAGTTACTGTGGGAGCCAGGAATGAGACAAATACTTAATATCAGCTTGAGCCAAATGTAATTAGGAACATCAATCTGCTGCCCCCAACCCATGTGACACACTCCAAAGGCAAAGAGAAAATGCTCCTGCTGGCTCCTGCGCTGCTAGCTGGTCCCTTCTGTCGCATGTCCCCAGGCAGAGGACAGGGCTGGACAGGCAAAGGCCTCTGATCCCCCACTGTCCAGCCAAGGGCTCAGCCTAAAGAAAAGAGTCAGAAATGTGTACACCTCCCCGCTGGGGTGTGGCTGCCGGCACAACACCTCCTTCTGGGTCCCCACTGCACAGCACATGGAATCTGGCTCCCCCGAAATACAGCCTGAGATAGGTCTGGAGGCAAGAGATTTAACTGGAAGGCGATCACGCGAGTGGATAATGAGATTGGAAAGGAGGAATCACTAACATGAAGGCCTGCTCCCAGGGCCACTTTGCACTTTCTCAGCCTCCAAGGCCTCTACCTCTTGTTCTCAACAACAGCAAAGTCCTGCTCGTCCTTCAAAGCCCAGCTCCAGCGTCATTACCTCTGTGGCCACCTCTGTGGTGGCCTGGTTCATGCTGCATTATAGCTGCTCTGATGGAATATACTCGTTCTGTCTCTTTTTAAGGACTGTGACCATGTGTCCTGCCTTTAGCTATAAGACTAACCCCCGGTCATTCCAGAGCATGGCCCAGCCGATCCAGTAAGGCCGCCACAGACCTCATCAGCCTCTCGCTTCCTCACCCTCTGGGTCCAGTCCCTCCTCTGTGTGGCCAGGTGCCAGGGCCTCTTGACCTGAGATTTTACCTGCCTCATGCCCATGGCATTTGTCCAGGCCCTGGGTTGGGTGCCACCATGCAGTGAGGAGGACTTGCTGTTGGGCACCACTGTCACCCTGGGTAGGCGAGGAATGTGCTCAAAGCCACAGAGCCCAGTAAGAAGGAGATCCCACATCTGGTGCCCACTGGTCACCTCTATCATGGCCCACGGTCCAGCTCCCCCTTCCAGCCTCTGGTGGTCACTCAGTCCTAAACTCTGCAGGTCTCCCCATGCTGCAGCTCTCAGATTGTCCCCTGCACTCCACCCTGCTCCATTCCAGCCTGGCTTGGCACTTTCTCTTGCGTGGGCCAGGGGACTCCGTGATCCACCCAGCATCCTCTGCTGCTGGCTCAGGGCCCATAGCCTTGGCTGCTTGGAAGCCACTGGGAGCTCTGCGCTGTCCCCAGGATGAGTTCCCATCCCTTCCTGTTCATCTCTAGCATCTCTGTCTCACCACCTTCTGCCTTCGTCTGCTCCGGGTGCGTCCTGGTCTTCCTCATTCTCTCCTGCAAGGCCGCCTCCTCCTGGAAGACTCCCAGCCCGTCTCCTCCTTCCTGTCTTTCTTGGTCTCCCAGCCTCTCCCCCACATTGTCTCTGCCCCCACCTCTCTGAACTTCCACTCTCCCAGCCCCTCCTGCTCTGTCCCCTCTGCTCTAAGGGGGGCTGGGAGGGTAGGGTGGGGAGATGGGGGGTATGGGGCTCTCCTCTGTGAGCCTGGCCCTTTGTGACTTCTCTTCTTCTGGCCTCCTCACCTCTGACCCCATGGTGGTGTTTCTTTGTCCTTCTGATCACCCTGACTTCCTCTCTGTCTCCTGTCCCTGCCTCTCTCTGCCTCCTCCTCGCCCTACAATTGATCTTTCTCTCCTGGTCTCTCCCCTTTCTCACTGTGGCTGCACACTATGCTTATGGAGCCCGGGCCAAGCGCTGGGGCAGCTGGGCCTGCCTGGGGCTGTCATCTCATGTCTGGGGGTGATGAGCGGTGAATGGAAAGTGGCTGCTGTGTCCTCGGGGTCCTCGGGGGCTGTGTCCTTGGCTGGAGGGTGTCCTCCCTGTGCTGGAGGCTGCGTCCTGTGAGCTTACTGGGCCTGTGTGTATGTGCACATGCATGTGTGTGTGTGCGCGCACACATGTATGTGTATATGTGTGTACAAGTGTGTGTGTACAGTGATGGATGAAACCAGGGAGGGAGCAGCCACAGCACTGGGCTCAGCGAGGGAACCCCAGCCAGTCCCCCCAGGTCTCCTCTCCAAGCTGTCCCCTGAGCCCTGATGGCAAACTGGAGCCTTCACCACAGGCAGAGCAGATGGCTGCTGGGAGCTCTCCGCGGCCCTGTGGGTGTGCTCAGAGGCTAATGGGCTCCAGGAGCCTTCTCTTGAACACGCTGTGTTGGTTGGGAGTCCTGCTCCAGAGCCACGTGCCTGGGTTGGAACACCACCTCTCCCACTCACTACCAGTCTAAGTGGGGTGCCGCTGTCTGACGTCCTTATACCTGTGTCACTTCCAGGGCACACTACCTGCGGCCTCGGCAATCTCATGGGAGCCCTTGCCTTCTTCCTGGGGACAGAGCATCACCCCTTACCTGCCCTGTGCTCTGTGACCTGCAAGCCCCAAATTCTCCACAACAACGTCCCCCTCACCCTCCTCATGTCCCCTACCTGGGCCTCAGACATACACTGGTGATAGACAAAGTGACAGAAGACAGTGGTATAAAAACTTACCATCACAGGGGGCATCACAGGAAGGAAAGGAAGTGCCCATAAGGCCCCAGAACCTGCAGGCTTGGCATCTGCTTGGGGTGGCGGCGCTTGTGATTGATGCCATCCAGGTCTCCCAGATAACAGCATCTGCAGCCATCTCTGTCTGGACAGGTGTCAGGCCCTGACCCTCTTCCTGTGAGAAGGTCCGTCTTGGCAGAGAGGGGCATTCAGGATGCTCCTACCTGTGGTTCTCGTACCCGGGAGGGGTGCAGCCTTCCTTTGCGAGAGGCCCGTTTCTCACAGCCACCCCTTTGTCTGCAGAGGGCTGTGGAGTCCCTCAATAACCAGCTGGAATTATACCAATGATACCTATTCCAGGTGGGATAGTTCCGTCTCCCACAGTATATCGAGGGGCAAACATTTACAAACGGTAACCATGCCCATCCGAGACAAAAGCCTGCCATGCTACCAGTCACCATCAGAGGGCGCTAAAAAGCCCCCAGCTCTACAAGTTTCAGATCCTCCTCTATCTAAATAGTCAAACCTAGACAGCAGTTCCTAACCTTTTCAGCATACCAGAGACAGGTTTTATGGGAGACAATTTTTCCGGGTAAAGGAGGGGAGGGGTGGTTTCAGAGCGCTCCAAGCGCGTTCCATTTAGCATGCACT